AAGAACAGAGCCTTGACTCATGTGGGAGAAGACAAATGGGTGCCCTATGTGGAGTGGATTGGAAGGAAGCCGAAGGTGGATATGCTTCGGGTGTTCGGGTGCATGTGCATGGCACTTGTGCCTAAGAAACTTCGGCACAACAAGCTTGATGCCAAGGTAACATGGGCCGTGCACCTGGGCATGGCTCAAAACAGCAAGGGATGGCTTCTTTGGGACTCATTTACCAAGAAGTTCATGGTGAGCAGAGATTGCAAGTTCATGGAGAACTTACCGTACAAGGAGTGGAAGGCGGAGAACCAAGCGAAGATTGGTGTGCGGCTTGGAGAAGTGAAGAGTACCGGCTTGGAGCATGTGGAGCTGCCCTTGGAGCTGAGTAGCAGCAGCACAATCACAAGGCAATCTCCTCAAATGAATGGAGGAGAAGAGGAGGAGGAGGTGCAGCAAGGTGATGAGCGTTCACCGTCACTTCCGCCGCGTGCTACAAGTGCTCGCGGGAACCGACCAGATTCGCAGCAACGCCATGAGAGCATTCAAGTCCCTGCAACAGAGGAGGAAGGAAGGGGGAGAAGGAAGACTCAGCCCCCCAAAAGTCTGAGCTATGAACGGCTTGGAGGACCAGCCAACTCAACTTTGACCGGTTCGGCTCTCATGCTAGGCGATGATGCGGAAGATGAAAGCGAGGAGTGCGCTTTTGCCTTCTTCTCTCCGGTGGAGATACCGGGGGAGCCTACAAATCCCAAGGAGGCTTGGGAGGGCCCCAATGGGAAGGAGTGGAAGAAGGCCTCAGATGAAGAAATGGGGAGCATCATCGAGAACGACACGTTTGACTTGGTGAACCTGCCTCCGGGGCGTAAGGCGATTTCTTCCAAGTGGCTCTTCAAGCGCAAGACTGACGCCGACGGCAACATTGAGCGCTACAAGAGCAGACTCGTAGCCAAGGGGTACCAGCAGCAGGAGAAGAAGCACTACAATAAAGTATATGCTCCTGTGGTGAAGGGTACAACCCTTCAAACTCTCTTCGCCGCGGCGGCCATCAAAGGGTGGGTGGTGAAGCAAATGGACATCGAAACGGCCTTCCTCAACGGAGTTTTGGAGGAAGAGACCTACATGGAGCAGCCAGAGGGATACAGTGATGGCAGTAGCAGAGTGTGGAAGCTAAAGAAAGCCACTCTATGGCCTGAAGCAAGCTCCTGGGCAAAGGTACATCAAAGTGCGGGAAGTCTTGGAGGCGATCGGCTTCACTCCCTCAACGGCCGATCAATCATTGTTCATGCTTGGCAAGGGGGAGCAGAGGAGCTTCATGGTGGTTTATGTGGATGACATCCTCATATTCTCACCCTCCTCTGACCTTGTGAAGGAGGTGATGCTGAAGCTTCCAGACAAGTTCAAGTGCAAGACCCTTGGTGACGTCAACTACTACCTTGGGCTTCACATTGAGCGAGATGTGGAGAAGCGGTGGATGCGAGTGCATCAAAAGAAGTACTTGGAGGCCTTGGCTGCAAAATTTGGAAAGAGTGAAGGTCATGTGGCTACTCCTCTACCCTTGGGGTTCAAGAGTGTGAAAGGACCAGCGGAGGAAAGTGTTGGTGAAGAGGAGAGGCACTGTTTTCATTCCTTGGTGGGCAGCCTCATGTATGCGGCCGTTCACACAAGGCCGGATGCAGCCTTTGCTACCGGGCAGCTCGCTAGGGTTGTCCAATGCCCTAATGAAGAGCAGGTAGCAGCTGGAGAGAGGGTGGCCAAGTACCTTGGCCAAACAGCAACTGTTGGACTGCAATACTCCGCGGCGGCACAAAGGCGTCGAAAGGGTGCGGATGGAGTCGAACCCTGGAGGCTCTTTCTCGCGGCCTTCTCTGATGCATCTTGGGCATCAGAGCCAGAGGACATGACAAGTGTGGGAGGCTTCATCTGCTGTGTTGGTGGAGGACCAACAGCTTGGGAGAGCAAGAAACAAGTGGACCAAGCATTGAGCTTGGTGAAGTCCGAGTACATGGCACTCTTCCGTGCCATACGAGAGGTTGTGTGGCAGCGGCGTTTGCTAGCTGAATTGGGGGAGGAGCAGCAAGGACCTACCTCACTCTACTGTGATAGCAAGGGTGCTATTACACTGGCTAAGAACCCCGTTCTTCATGGCCTTACCAAGCACATGAAGGTGAAGTGGCATTGGGTGAGGAGCATGGTAACCACGGGTGAAGTGGAGTTGCACTACGTGAAGACGACGGCGCAGCCTGCTGATATGATCACCAAGAGGCTGGTTGAGCAACAGCATTGGAAGTGTTGCAAGCTTGCTGCGATGGCTCTGAACTAAGGGGAGCAGATTCTAAGGCCAACAATCCGAGGGGGAGTTTGTTGGTGCAACCCTATGGCTTGCACTCGGCTTGTCGTCCTTGTTTGTGTGCGTGCATGCATGGCATGGAATGACTTGTGAGTCTATGTCATTGCTCTCTAGTGCTTATGTGTGTATTTGAATGGTGTATCACAATGTGGTTTGTGTCGGTCAAGACATTAGCGAGTGTTCACAACTCGCATGTCAAGTCGTCGTTTGCGCGTCGCATGTGCTTTCTCTATTTTGTCGAGTGTGAAGTGTCCATCTCATCGCAGGTGTGTGCAGCAAGCCCTCATCATCTCAAGAAGAACTGATCTTGCTGAACCAAGACCAAGAGCTCAAGATTTCAAGCCCAAGGGACGTGGACAAATATGAAAATAGTGAAAATTGTAATGCTACTTCAAGTAGTGTTACATTTCATTTGGTGTAGCCCCTTGTTGGGTTTTATTTCGAGTCTCATGGTTGGGGACTCTTTGGTGGTGTACCACCAACTTGGACCTCGGCTCTTGGGGTATGTAGAGGCTGGGAACCATCCCTATCTCGAATTCTTCTTCCTAAGTTTTTGTACTCCTATGACTATAGTGACTGCTGTACCTCCTGCCAGTCAAACCGCCATAGCGTCGTCAAATCTTTATGGAATTTTATGATTCAACTTGCTGCTGATAGGCGACAGCAACGCAATCTAGATCCAATTTAGAGATCACCGTTTGAGGTACACATCAGATCGGCATCAAGATTTGAAGCTGTCTGAAGGAATTCTAACCGTGCACAATTTCTCTCATTTTAGGCACATCTGAGCCTTTTGTGGTTGTAACAAAAACATCATCATGGAGGCAACATTCGTGACAAGGGACTACACAATCGACGCATCTTCTGACTAGTGTCCGCAACGATCGATTAATTTTGTTGAAGTCATCTTCGTTAAAAATTGATCGACATCAACACAGCGAGATCTTCACCCAGGAAAAACAATGGAACTGCGTGAAGACATGTTCTCCATCCACAAGTCACTTCATCTCATAAATTGGATCGACAACCTATGGGATTGTAGAGAAGTAGCCGTTTTCTCATGCAATGCTCATAATTCCAAGTTGCTGCGAAGGAGCAGATTTCGCACGCAACGACGGCGCAGTGAACCCGTCTCGTCAAGGCCACTGAGACACTACTTCGTAACAGGAGCTGATTGATTCGTCTTCATCAAGAATCTCAGTCATCTGAAGTCATTGATTGGAGCAGTCCCAACATCGACGTCATGAGGCGACACACCAATCATGCATCGCGATTCCAGGTGTTAATGACATGCGTGGATAAACATTCCATGCATGTCACGATGCTTGACAAATTGAGGAGCAATCAACCTCGAATCCGGCAAGTACTCATTCACTAGCGACCCTCCGATATTTGCATTGGTGGGGATTCTACCAGACGCTGAAGCGTTACAAGCATGAGCGTAACTTTGACAATACAGGAGAATGCCAAGCATCACGAGGTGTCAACACATGAGGGAGATGCGGACTACTACAACACAATCACGTGCTCTACCGACCGTACGTCGGAGCCACGGACTAGCATACCAAGAATTGCTACCCGTGGATACATTGAGGGGAGAAGCAAATTTCTCTTCATACCCTCGAATGAAACAATCACCGGCAGCAATGGAGCAACGCATGTGTACCAAAATGCACGTGTTCCTGGTAGTTACGCCTGTTACACCCATCAATAAAACTCTACTGGGATAAGGGAGTTGATGGATTCTCCTTCAACCATTACGAGTTAAGAGAATTCTCTACAGCAGCTACCGCCGTCACCATCGTCGCAACCGCCGCCGCCGTCGCAGCAGAAGACTCGACACAACAGTCATATCCAAACCTTGATGGATGATTCTCCGCTCAAATGGAGATAATGCTAGATTATATTCCAATGGATCGTTAAAGTCCCGGCCAGGCACAGTACTATGATTTCCAGCTAGTGGGAAAGAGATACCACTATGCGAGGGAACAACATGGCAATGCCATATACCCTCAAGAGCAGGAGATATTTGCTCTTATGATGATGGGAGGACAACAGTACTCCACCGGTATACAAGTCCTCTTGGCCTATGGCTTTCCTCAAAGTCATAAAACCTGTGTCACAACCAATCCATCACCAGCACCACCTCTACGGAAGCAGATAGGCGTGAAATGGAGCGCCGACGCCCCTCCGGATAGTGGACTCCGCGTATCTCCAACAACACCCTTGTTTGCCAAAATGGAGCAGACTTCAATACCGATGCTGAGTAGCTGAGACATCTTCGACATCAACGCTACTTCAAGGACAGCAACAGAATGAGACAACACATGATGGCACCAGAAGACCTCTCCCAACATGTGCGCCTAGACACCAATGCCTACTCCTCATTTTCCATTATCCTTTGGTTTATCCTGTTATTATGATTATATCACCGACCAGGCTCGGGATGTACTGGCGCGCTATATCTAGCGTAATCCTGCCGTAATCCCTTAAAGCCAATAGCCTCGCGTGGCTATACGCAGGGTGATTCAATTTCTAGAAGGGTCTATTTTCTTTGGATATGATAAACCTGGTTACTGTAAGAAATAGAGTTGAAATGATTGATTAGGTAAGGAGCCCAGGGCTCTATAAGTACATGGCAAGGTGAGAGTGAATGGATGAAGGGGGAATTGGAGGGAATCCCCATTGGGATCTCCGGAATCTCTAATTGGGTAATTGGAGATTGGGGGGATCACAATTGGGTGAGGTTGGGATTTGTGAGTACACCCCAATCCACTAGAACATTCATAACCTAAACTAGGATATAAAAGTACAAATACAAAAGTGGTATTTGCAGTCTATTTCTAACACACCCCCATAGACTGCAAACCCGATCAAGGAGCACATAGCCCCATGGAACGGAGAAGGCGATGGTGGTCAGCCTTGCCGAGAGCCTTGGTAAAGAGGTCGGCGAGGTTGCAATCTGAGGCGATGTACTGTACCGTCAGCTGGTCACTCTGAACAAGATCTCGGATGAAGAAATGACGAAGTTCGATGTGCTTGGTGCGAGAGTGGAACACAGGATCCTTGGTGAGGTGAATGGCACTCTGGTTGTCACACCACAGGGTGGGCGACTGCTGGGGGTAGCCTAACTCAGCGAGGAGAAAGGAGAGCCAGCGTGCCTCTTGAGCAGCCATTGTGCCCGCGTAGAGCTCGGCCTCGCAGGACGACAGGGAGACTGTAGAGGACCGAGTGGAGCGCCAGCTGATGACTCCGCTACCAAGGGTGAAGCAGTACCCTTGGGAGGAGCGTCTGTCAGTCTGGTCATCGGCCCATGAGGAGTCTGTGTATCCCTCGAGCTTGACTGGAGAGGTACCACCGAGAGCGAGGATGTGAGACTTGGTGGCTTGTAGATAGCGGAGGACCCTCTTGGCTGCACACCAATGCGAGGTAGTGTAGCGTCCGGGGGAGACGTACCGAGAGAGGACACTAACCGGGTAAGCCAAGTCTTGTCGAGTGCACATCATGGCATACATGAGTGAACCGACTAGCTCAGGGTACGGGTCCTTGCAGGCGTCAGGAGAAGGAACTGGAGGGGCCGTGAGCTGATGCTGTAGTGGGAGTGGAGTGGAGACAGAGTTACTGGAGTCCATGTCGAACCGCTTGAGAAGGTTGTCGATGTACGACTCCTGGGAGAGGGTGATGGTGCAAGCCTGGCGGTCACGAATGATCTCCATCCCCAGGTAGTTCTTGAGGTCACCAAGATCCTTCATGAGAAGGGCGGAGCTGAGAGCAGACTGGACAGCTGCCATGTCGGCTGGATCTCTGGCGGCTAGAATGAAGTCGTCGACGTAGACGAGGATGTAGAAGGGCTCAGAGGAGTGACGAACGAAGAGACAGGAATCTAAGGCAGAGGGATGGAAGTCAAGTGCGAGGAGGACTTCCTTCACCTTGTTGTGCCACTCACGAGGAGCCTGCTTGAGGCCATACACTGGGCGCTTCAGCTTCCACACTGTGTTGGCAGGGTAAGTGCCAGGAAACCCCGGTGGACGTTCCATGTGAACATCCTCCTTGAGCTGGCCTTGGAGAAAGGCGGAGGAGGCGTCCATGGACTTGATCTCGAAGTTGCCGCGAGCGGCTATATCAAGAAGAGCGCGCACAGTCGGGAGCTTGGCCGTGGGCGAGAATGTTTCGAAGAAGTCGAGATACTCCTTCTGGGTGAAACCCTTTGCCACGTATCGTGCCTTGAACAGTGGAGCTTCGCCTGGGAGTTGTTTGACTCGGAAGATCCATTTTCCGCCGACGATGTTGACACCGGAAGGGGGAACAACATCGTCAAAGCTGTTGTTGCGAATGAATGCCTCGTTCTCCACATCCATTGCTGCCTTCCACTCCTTCTTATAAGGCCCCGAGAGAGCTTCCTCTTTTGTGCGAGGAGTCGGAATGGTCGGGTTCTCGGTGAAGTTGAGGGAAGGGCAGTCAGTAATGTCCGGGAAGATGTGAGAGAGAAATTGGCAGACCGCGTGAAGGTCAAACAGCTCCTCATGCCTGTCCTCCATAAGTGCACGGGGGGGAATACGGATGGAGGGGACATCACCCCCGGCAGGAGGAGGCGGGGTGACCGAACACCGGATGGAGAAGGCGGCTGGTCCCCAGGCGAGAGGCGGAGCCGGTCCCTTGGAACGAGTGCGACTAGAGACCGGAGACGAAGGCGGCTGCGGTGGGACCGGAGGGACTGGGCGCCTCCGATAGGAGACTGGTGAGCCAGGCTTGACGTGCGGGGAAGGCGGAGCAGGAGGAGGTGCCGCTGCGGAGGATACTGGGGAGGCCGGGTGAGACACGCCGGACGGAGAAGGCCCCGGAGAAGGGGCAGCGGCCGGAGGTGGGGCATCGAAGTCTGCCCAAACAAGCGTCGGGGGAGGTGGAGGAGGATCGCCCGTGGTCGCAGAGTGGAATGGGCGTGTCTCATCGAAGACGACATCACGGCTGCGAATCAGCTGTCTGGTGATTGGGTTGAGGAATAAGTAGTCTGGGGAGTCGGAGTTGTGCCCCAGGTACATGCAGGTCTGGGTTTTGGGACCAAGCTTGCCACCTTGCTTCCTGCGCGTGTTGGGGCTTAGCAACACATACGCGGTACACCCCCAGACGCGTAGAGAGTGGGCGGAAGGCGTGACCCCAAGCCAGAGAGCGGTAGGTGTGGTGTCGGGCCGGCGGGGATGCGGATAAAGATTGTAGAGGAGTGTCGCATGGAAGAGGGCATATCCCCAGAGTGACCGTGGTGCGTTGGCGTGACTGAGGAGGCAGCGAGCGATCTGAACCAAGGTGTGGTTGCGGCTCTCTGCAATGCCATTCTGCTGCGGGCTTTCGGGGAGCGTGAAGGTTTGCCGAATCCCTTGGGCCGCACAGAAGTTATCGAGTTTGCCATTGCGAAATTCTCCCCCGCCATCAGAATGGAGGCACTTCAGAGGAGTGCCGAACGTGACTTGAGCCTGGCGCACCCACGCCATGATGACATCAGGTGCCTCCGCCTTGGTATGCAGGAGGTGCACAGAAACATACCGCGAGTGGTCATCGACTAGCGTAAGAAAGTACCGATGACCGACTCGGGATGCGACTGGAGCTGGGCCCCAGACATCCATGTGCACTAGGTCCAGCGGAGCAGCTGCGACGGATGGGGAGGAAGGATGCGGCTGCTGCCTGAGCTTGCTCTTGGTGCAGTCCAGGCAGGTGGGTGCAGGTGAGTCTGTTGGTGGAGGAAGCGCCGACGGGAGGCCAAGAAGAAGTTTCTTGGAAGCGATGTCGGCAAGTGTACGGAAGTTGGGGTGACCCAAGCGATGGTGGTAGAGGATGGTTGGGTTGGCGAAGCTGCGACACGAACACGGAGTGGTGCTAGCTGCTTGCGCTTGGGAGAGGGCGGCGAGAGGTGCAGGTGAACGCAGCGTGTAGAGCTTGCTACTGTTGAGTGTGAAGCGTGCTAGGAGCTTGTTGGACTTAGGGTCGAAGAGGTCACTGTGATCCGAGTGTGCTGGGAAGATCGTGGTGACGCCTGCCCGTTGGAGCTCGTGTTGGGCCACGAGATTGTGGCGTAGTGTGGGAACACACATGCGGGTGACACTGCCCGAAGGAAAAGCTGGGCACGGAACTGTGGAGGAGCCCTAGGCGTGTGTTGTGAAACTGGAGTCTGCTCCAAGTAGACGGATTGGTGTCTCGTATGGCTTGAAGGAGTGTTCTTCCTTGAGAACCGTGTGAGTGGCCCCACTGTCGAGGGTGAACTCTATTGTGGCTGAGGTGCTTTGTGAGCCGGGACACTGCGAAATTGTCTCATTAATCATGGCAGTGCCAGGGAACAACATGTTGAGGCGCACATCAGCAGGTGCAGCCACAGCAGCCTGCACGGATTCCTGCGCTTCGACTTGATTGACTTGGCCAGGAGCACGATTGACCATCCAGCTTGGCGGCTTGGAGGCGGTCCCATTGACGGCATACCACTCGTCATCCTTTTTCTTAAAGCAGGAGGCAAGGGCGTGGTTGGTGCCGCCACACATCTGGCCAGCACGAGGGCCGCGCTTGATGACGTAGGGACACGGGGGGAAGCGGTTGCGCTGGAATGGCGCCGAAGCGGCATAGGCTTGAGGCACGGGAGCGCGGATTACATTGGCCTTGGCTGGAGTGCTGTTGTCCTTTTCGGCAGAAAGGAGCGCGGATGAGACCTTGGCAAATGTGAGGTCTACAGGAGCAAGGCCCAAGAGCATCTTGCGTGTGACTTCGTATGCCGGAGTGAGGCCGACTAGGAGAGCGGCTGCAGGGGCTTGCTCGGGGAAGACTATCCCCAACTGTTTGAGTTCACCATGAATGGACTGCACCTTGGTGACATAGTCCGCCATGCCTGGCGAGTCCTCGAGCCGCACTTGGAACATGCTGGGGATGAGTATAGCAACTCCCACTGCAGTCTTGTTCAGGAAGCGATCCTCGAGGTAGAGCCAAATGGCGTTGGCAGACGGGTAGTTGTGGTAGGTTTCGACGAGTTCGGGAGGAGTGGTGCCCATGAAGACACTAATGACCGCGCCATCGGCCTTCTCCCAATTCTTGTACTTGAGCAGTGCAACAGCATAAACTGCTTCGGCGGCGGCATTAGCTGGATCGGCGGACCTCTCGGGTTTAGGAGGCTCTTTGCCGTCACCGATGTTGAGAAGGACGTCGGTGAGCTCGAGCCCCTTCACCTCGCGACTGAGGAGGTGCTTGTCGACACCATAGCGCCAAGCCTTGTAGTTGGAGCATGTGCCGTCCGGCTCGAGACGAAGGAGCGGGATCGGGTTGGCGAGTGAAGTGGTTGAGTAAGCCATTGTCGGTGTGCAGCGCGGCACTTCTGGAAATTGGTCGACGAGAATTGCTGAAAATCACTCTGACGGCTGTATCAAAATGCCGCTAATTAGGAAATGGCGTCGGCGAAAATTCGTTAAAACGCCGACTTGAAACTGAATCTGAGCCTATGTCTAACCCCGGACCCACACACCCCCCCACACACCCCCAAGCCCTGTCCCGCAGCTACACAGCTCCGCAACCAGCTCCGCAACCAGCTCCGCAACCAGCTCCGCTCCGCTTCATCCTGTGTACCTGCTCTTGATTTGACGCGAGACGTTCGTGGAGGCGATTTCGCGAGGGGAGTTCGCCTATTCTTGCGGGGTCTGAGGGGAAAATCAAGAACGAGTTTTAAGAGATGGTCGAAATTGAGATTCGACCAAAGAGAACCGAGGTGGAAATCAGCGATGAGAAGCGTGAAAGCTTCAGAGATGAGAAATTCAACGAGGTCGAGCGCGAAACCGGTCGACGATGAGAGGCGCGACTGCAGAGTGGAGCACGTCGAAATTCCGACGACTCGAAACGAATGTCGCGACGATGAAGTGCGCGTAGCGCGGGCACGTTGAGATTAGGACCTTGATCCGCGTGTGCGGATAGGTCGCTCTGATACCATGTAAGAAATAGAGTTCAAATGATTAATTAGGTAAGAAGCCCAAGGCTCTATAAGTACATGGCAAGGTGAGAGAGAATGGATGATGGGGGAATTGGAGGGAATCCCTATTGGGATCTCCGGAATCTCCAATTGGGTAATTGGAGATTGTGGGGATCACAATTGGGTGAGGTTGGGATTTGTGAGTACACCCCAACCCACTAGAACATTCATAACCTAAACTAGGATATAAAAGTACAAATACAAAAGTGGTATTTGCAGTCTATTTCTAACAGGTGAAGCGGTTGATCACCCTGTGCTGGTTGAAGGAAGAGTCGGCGACACCCGCATCAAAATATTTGTTGATGGCGGGGCAAGCCACAGTCTGATGGATGTGACGAAAGCGAAAAAACTGCGATTGCATCTAGAGCGCTGCATGCCCGAAATCGATGCGCGGTTGGTTGACGGCACCCCAATGGCAATTTGGGAGCGCGTGCCTCACGTGCGAGTCACCTGTGGTGAAAATTTTAGTTTCACGACGAAGTCGCTGGCAACAAGTTTGGGTGGGTGCGACATGCTGCTGGGACGCGCTTGGCTGCGCGAGTACAGCCCGAGCATTGACTAGCGGACGGGCGATTGTCGCATCAAGTGGAGTGGCGAGTGGCGGCAACTACCCAAGTGGAGCAGTCAAGACTCGACCACATTGATAGTCAGCGCGGTGACTATCAAGCGAGTGATGACCCAAGGAGCGCAGCTGTATGCTGTCCGATGGATCGCCTCAATGGCTATCGACACCCAACCGACATTGACAAACTCTGCGCAGCCGTCCCGGATGACTTGGCAATGGTGAGTGTGGCGGGGAGAGGGAAGCATGGGGGCCGGACCCCTTTGGCCAGGGGGTTGGGCACAAGTGCCCACAAGCGCGCTGCCATTTTTCCGGATGACCTACCAGCGGGCTTGCCACCTCAGCGACCACAGGACCACAATATCAAGCTTGAACCCGGCGCGCAACCTACTGTTCGGACTCAGTGGCGGTTGACTCAGCCTGAGTTGGATGACCTTCGACGCCAGCTGGACTACCTGCTCGAGAAAGGTTTTGTTCGCCCCAGCACTTCACCGTTTGCAGATCTAATCTTGTTCACCCCGAAGAAAGATGGGGGTCTACGTATGTGTATCGACTACCGCGCCTTGAATCGAGTTACCGTCAAGTCTCGCTACCCGATTCCACGTGCCGACGAACTCATCGACCAGCTTCGCGGGGCCAGTTTTTACTGGAAGATTGACCTGCGAGGCGGTTACCACTAAATTTGTGTGAACGGAGCTGGCTACTACAAGACGGTATTTCGGACCCGATACGGGAGTTTCGAGTACACTGTTATGCCATTTGGCTTAACAAACGCGCCTTCGACGTTTCAGTTGACCATGAACGAGCTTTTTCGGCCGTTGATGGACAAGTGCGTCATTGTGTACCTTGACGATATCCTGGTCTACAGCACTACCCGAGAGCAGCATTTAAAGGATTTGGAAGCGGTTTTCATGCAGCAGCACCGACTCATCACGAAAGGCTCTAAGTGCGAGTTTCTAAAACACGAACGGGAGTTTTCGGGCCACGTCATCTCCATCGACGGTGTGAAAATCGACCATAAGAAAATTGCAGCGATCCAAGACTGGAAGCCGCTGGCTTATCTCCGCGAACTTCAAAGTTTTTCTTGGTTTGTTAATTACGTGCGCCGTTTCATTCCGAACATGGCAGGGGTAACTTCTCCTCTTACGAATCTCCTGAAGAAGGGCACGTTTTTTGAGTGGGTGGGAGAGCGGCAGGTTGCGTTCAAAAAGCTCAAACTTTTCCTGACAACACCTCCGGTTCTTCGGATTGCAGATCCTCACCGTCTATTCGAGCTAGCCATTAGCGCCGTACTGTTACAAGACTTTGGCGAAGGCCTCCAATCGATCGCCTACGAGTCACGAAAGCTGAACCCCGCCGAGCGAAATTATCATGTCCACAACAAGGAGTTACTCGCCATCGTTCACGCTTTCAAAGTCTGGCGCTGCTACCTGACAGGTGCTGACGTGACAGTTCGAACAAACCACAAGTTGCTACAGTTCATCCGTGCCCAACCGGCATTGAATCCCCGACAGATTTGTTGGCTCGACTACCTCGAGTCCAACTTTCACTACAGAGTCACCTACAAATGAGGGGTTAGCAACATCGCCAACGCACTGACCCGCTCCTCGGTCCACACCGTCGCCGTCCTAATTACCCAAACTAGTCCACTGCTAACTGGCCTATTCACCCTCGGATACAGTACCGACCCATTCTTCATCACCAACAGTCATCCCCAACTGACGGTCAAGCAGAGTAGAATCGGGTACCAATCGGATTTGGGTTCCCCCCTAACGTACCCTACAGGAATTACTGATCCAGGAGGCACAAGACTTGAATTTCTCGGGTCACTACGGCATCGATAAAACGGCAAAATTACTGTGCCATAATTATTACTGGCCCCACCTGCCAACAGACGTGCAGCCGTACGTCACCTCCAGCGCCACGTGTCAACGCATGAAGTCTTCACGGCTTCGACCTGCTGGATTGCTGCAGTTGCTCGAGCCACCAAGCCGACCCTGGCAACAAGTGATGATGGACTTCATTATTGGCCTGCCAGCTGGTCCAAGCAACAACAACGCGATCCTCGTCGTCGTTGACCGGTTGACCAAAATGGCCCATTTCGCCATCTGCAAGATGACAATTACTGCTGAGCAGACAGCGAAACTGTTCCTTACGAACATCGTGTAGCTACACGGCATCTCCTCGGCAATCATCAGCGATCGTGACCCACGGTTCACGCCCAACTTCTGGACAAAAACCTAGCAGCAGTACGGCACACGTCTATATCTGTCCACGGCGTACCACCCGCAATCGGACGGTCAGACTGAGCGCACCAACCAGATGATGGAGCAGCTGATTCGCACGACATGCACAGACCCGGCCCTATGGGAAGACACTCTTCTTTTGATCGAGTTTGCGTACAACAATGCCCTATCGGCCACGACTACTCGGTCCCCGTCCTTCCGTAATTACGGGATAGATCGGACAACCCCTCTATCGCCACCGATAGAAAATCCGGCACCAAGATCTCAGCAATTCATTGAAAACCTCCGACAGTCTCAGCAAAAAGCCGCCGATGCTATCCTAAAAGCCAACTAGAGGGTTAAGCAGCAAGCCGACCGACGACGCCGAGACTTAACACTTGCCCCTGGGTAATTGGTCTTGCTTGATGCCTGGAATTTGGGAATTCCCCTCCCAAATAAGTTACGACCACGGTTTTGCGGACCATTCTGCATTTTTGAATGGTCACACCAATCACCGCTCAGCTGCAATTACCAACCGACTGGCAGATTCATGATTCGTTCCACGTCAGTCTCCTGCGACCGTTTGCCCTGAGCGCGACCAATCTCGACCGTCAACACATCAATCCTAAGGTCAACCCAGTATCCGAGCCCAAGACAGAACCGTCCTAGATTCTCGCACATCGTGTACGCGAGCATCGAGATAGAGCAGCCGTTGATTTCCATGTACGATGGGTCGATCGCACGAGTGACGACAACCTCTGGGTTCCCGCAGCTATGCTCGGCGAACACTGAGTTGTCCGGGACTATTTGCACCGACGACGTGTCCCGAATGCGGGTGGTCTCGTCCCGGAAAGGGGGGTGGTGTAAGGAAATTCCTTTTTCCTTACTGGGCTCGACTACAGCGCCTACGTCCTCGGCTCTCGGAAGTCCAGGCTTAGCCAACTTCTTCGGTCCTGAACCACTTCGCGAACCCAAGCCCAGACACGCGGCGCTTCCGTAGATTTTGCCAACCGGACCGCCCCAACATGTTCGCGTGCTTCTCGGCTAGCCCTGTTCGTGCCTATAAATGCCTAGGCCCTCATTTGTATCGACACTCTTTAATCACGACTCCTCCATTACACTACATGTTATTATTCTGATTAAAGCCCCCGTCTCATAATTACTAGAGTTTTACACTTGGTTGGAGCAGGCAAACTCTGATTGGTAGGCGAGGTATAAAAAAAATGACGAAAACGAAACGCAAGTGGCGAGACCATTTTGTTTCGGCAAAACACCCGAACCAAAAACAGGTTTGGGGAAGGGTGGCTCGCGATAGGTTTTGCACATCAGTCTGGAGGTTCGTTTTACATCGGACGGTGCAGAATCCAATTTTCCTGCACAGCCAAATTCTACTTCGTTTACAGCGGTAGATTTAGTAATACACTCGCTGAACCGTCGGATCCGAATTTCTAGACGATCGAACGGTCCAACGTCCCCATTCTTCCGTGAACTTGCTCATTCTCATATTTCACTGCTGGTTTTACAATTGGTCTCGCCCCCCAGCAAGAAACACACTGTCCGAGGTACTTCCTTGCCTGTCTCTTCAAATTCGCCAGCGTAACTGGGTACCAAGCATTTTACACTTGGTCGGATCCTAGAATTATGAGACGGGGGCTTTAATTCATATCATGCCCTCTGCACAAGGCGTTGCCCTGCCTACCCGCTTGATCGCTTGGTCCTTCCCAGCAGATTGTGAATTGCGAATCGCGATCAACTCAATCCCCGCCCTCAAGCCCACCGCCACCCCCCACCCCAACCCTCGTGAAGTACGTGATCCCTGCCCGTGTCATTCTGTCCAATCACCGTCAAACAACATCCAATGCGGTCAGAGCATCGCTGAAACAGGATCTAGGCAAACCACTTCCTGTGCACAGGAAAGGCTGAATTGTCGCGTCTAGTATTTTTGTTTTGAATGTCTGGTAATGCGTGGAGATGTGAAGGTGCCTGCCTGCTTTATATCCGCAAGGGGGGCATTGTGGTGGGTTCACAGGGCTGGCGTTTTATTGCCCTCGGAGCGGAATGCCACGCCAACGAGCTCCCAAGATTTAGGATGCTGAGGTTCGTAGCGTCTCTACATCTCGTAATATTTCAGAAGCTCGTCCCCATGTGCTGCGTTAGCCACAAGGCCGTTTCTGGCCAGCATGAGCTCGCAGACTGATGTTGCGCGTGCTGAAGTCATGATGGTGACGGATGGGTGCTGCTCTAGTGCCGAGGTGGTGCGTCGCTGGCTTTTCAAGCGGAGACCGCTTGGCCCAATCGAGCGAACTCGCCGACTCATGGGGTCGAGGTGGCGCGAGTGCTACTCCATGGCGGGATATTGGTCACGCTTTCACTCGTGTGGTTACTGGGTTGCCAGCTTCGAGCTTGGAGCTGTGCGGAAAGCTGCCTGGGGCCGTCGAATGATCTCGATTTCGCCACGGCGAGATCACCTGGAGTTGCGTCAGTTTCAGTTGTTCGATCCACCGTGCAGCATCAGGCCGTCAACGAGGGGTGGCGGGTCCTTGCCGCCCCCCTTCTTTTCACTCGCACAGGCCGTCCGTCTGCCGCGCGACGCACGACTCGTTTCTTGAGACTTTACTCGCACCAACTGCCATACAATCCTGGGTTCCGCCGAACACGGTTGCCATGAAACGTCGCTACCTCTTGCGGGGCGGTGCTTGGGAGAACGGATTGCTCTCGTTCACATGCTCACCATCGAACCCTCTCATGTCAACTCCGCATACACGAGGCTTCTTCCATCCCCCATTGCTCTCTCCCCGGCTTCCTCCTCGCCCGCGCGGCCCCATGGCCTTCCTTGACGATCCCCTGGGCGGCAGCAGCCCGTCCTTCTTCGCCTCCGACATGCTCGCCACGCGTCCGTCCGCACGCCCCACGGCGGGATGCTGTCCGGAGCGAGCATCGCCATTGCCGGTCGCGACGGCCCTCGCAGAGCGCCCAAGGCCCCTCCATGCGCTTGACTCGCCGGTCGCGCCGCTGGGCTCCTTGAGTGTGGGCAAGCGGCGCGCGCGGGGAGCGCATGGGCGAGAGCGCGAGGATGATCAGACACAGTGGAACTCAGCGCGCAGCCATCCGTACCACTCCATCGCCTTCCCCATGGCCGCATCAGGGGGACCGGCATGGGTACCGGCGTCAGCAGCAGCCGCAGCAGCAGCAGGGACCATTGTGACCCAGGCGCAGGCAGTGGTGGGCGCAGATGCGAGAGAAGCAGTAGACGGCATGTTGGACGAGGGCAAAACACCATCAGCCCGTTACCAATTGAGACAATCCAACATAGTCGTGGCAAGCCCCGCGGCGAGGCGAGGGAACGGATCATGCCGTGCGGATGAGAGCGCCTCTTGCCCAGTCAGCGCACGCACTGCAGGCGACGGCGTGGCTGCGGACTCAATGTGGGCTCTAGACTGCTGGGCTTCTAGTGCCGCCACTCCCATCCTGCCTGGCGTGCATGACGGTGGCGACGAGTGGATGCTGGAGTACCAAGGGAAGCCCGTGCACAGGAGCTGGAACTTCAGCACCTGCAGCAATCACTGCACCTCGCCCATGGTGCACAGCGACCTGGCCTTGCCCTCCCACTGCACCAGCAGCTCCTCCTCCTCCCCGTCGCACCACGCACTCTCCCACACCAATGATGCCACGCTGGTCGCTGAGAAGGTTACTGCCCATGGCTTGCAGGTGTGGAGCGCAGAGGCAGTGACCTGTGGCGTGGCACTGACACCGACACTGTGGCCGTGCCATCTGCCACGTGCGCAACAGCGAGCCCAGCAGTTTGCGAGGCAGAAGAGGGCTCGTCAATCCCCCCCGGATGCGCAGCTGCTGTCGATGATCCCCATTCGGCAGCCAGTAGAGGCCCCCCTCCTGCGCCCTGTGGCAGCGAGCAGCAGGTGGAGTGTCTCCCACACACTGCGTGCATGCCCGCTGCCGTCACCCCTACGGAACGAGCAGCTGGTGCCTTGGCTTCAGGCGCCTCTGGCGCCTCTGACAGATGCAGGCGCGGCAGGAGAGGCACGGCCCTATGTGTTGGCCAGCTGCTTTGCGCAGTGAGACTGCCACAACAAATGTGCTCCTTGTGGCGCACGTGGATAGAAACACAGTGATCTTGGTCTTGAAGTAGGGGCACACAATGGCCCTTTCACAATGCAAGCCTTCAAGAACCGTTCTATAACAAACCAGCAAAAAAGATAAATGCCACGTCAAACTAGTCACAAATCTAGCTCAGTAGGTTGGGAAGGAGGGGTCAACATGCGCACCCCACCCCTGCATGCCCCCGTCCACGCTCACAGCCGTGCCGATGCCCGCCTCCCTCAGCGCCCGCACGGCGCGCTGCGAGTCGTTGCCGCGCCGGCACACCACAAACACCCGAGCCATGCCACCAGCGGAACCTTGCTGCCCTTCCTGTGCTGCTGCCGGCTCGCCCTGTGCCCCACCTGCTGCACCCTGTGATGCTGCACACAGGGCTGACATGGTAGCTGAGCTGGCGAGTGACATGGCGGAGGACCGGATATGCTCAATGGAGTCCGGCAGCGTGGCAAGCGGGGCGTTGATGGCCCCCGGCAGCGCGGCCATGGCGAAGTGCAGAGGCGAGCGCACATCCAGCAGCACGTGGGGGAGGTGCTGCTGGCGCGCCGAGAGGAGCGCGGAGGGCGGCACTCGCTGGTCGGAAGGGATGAGGGACAGGGCCTTGGGACCCTGGAGAGGGCGAAGTGCGAGGGGAGGAGAGGGGAATTAAAGGGGGGGAGGGGGGGAACGGGGGGTGGGGAGGTAGAGGCAGGTGGATGGGAGAGTGAAGGCAGGAATGGGAAGTGCCGTTGAGCATGCGGCAAGCAAGGCACCGAGAAATCAAGGCAAGAGGAACGAATACAGTCAGGGCTTTCTGCTGAGCGTGACCCTCGCAGGCACGTGGTGCATGGTGCATGGTGCATGGTGCATGGTGCATGGTGCATGGTGCACGGTGCATGGTGCATGGTGCATGGTGCACGGTGCACGGTGCACAGTGCATGGTGTGAGAAACTGAAGTGATTGAATTAGAAAAGGAGGGGGAAAACATAGGTGAGGAGAGAGAAGGGGGGTCTGGTTGGGAGGTGGCCAAGACTATTGGCCATCCCAATAAGTTGGGTCGACCAGCTTATTGGAAGGTCCAATAATCCCGGTTGGGATTATTGGGGGTCCAATAATTGGGAGCCCTATCCAATTTGAGAACCCAACAAAGTTGGGCCAATAAAGTTGGGAACTCAACCTCCAACTTGAGTGTATACACCCAAGTGAGGTGCTTATAAATACCTAAGACAATGAAACGATGCAGGCTGATAGAATTAGGAAGGTATAAGCTAACACAACCCCTTAGCCTACAGAGTGCCATAAGTGTGAGTACATGAAGAAGCAACCCCTGAATCAGGTGGCCACCGGGGAGGGGGGAGGAGCAAGGCCCAGGAGGCGGAGGAGGGTCACATGCGGACAGCGATGGAGAGCTTTGGTGAAGATGTCCGCAAGGTTGACAGAAGAGTCAATCTTGCGGACGGTGAGGTGCCCGGCTTGGACAAGCTCACGAACGAAGTAGTGGCGGAGCTCGATATGCTTGGAGCGACCATGAAAGACGGCCTCCTTTGTGAGGTGGATGGTGCGCGTTGTCGCACCAAATGGTGGGACAGGGCTGGGGAGAGCATCCAGCTCAGCAAGGAGGAAGCTCAGCCACCGCGCCTCCAGAGCCGCCATGGTGAGGGCGTAGAGCTCTGCTTCGCAAGAGGAGAGAGCGATGGAGGAGGAGCGGGTGGAGCGCCAGGAGATGAGGCCGCTCCCGAGGGAAAAGCCATACCCCTGTGAGCTGCGGCGATCGGGCTGAGAATCTGCCCAGGAGGAGTCGCTGTAGCCGGTGAGCTGAGGGGGGGTGGGACCTAAGTTGGTACTTTACGTCACCTTAGGTGACGTAAACGTACAGTACGCGTAACGTTACGTTTATGTTACGTTACGCGTACGTTACGTTTACGTCGCCGGGCAGGCCCTGAATTTTTTTCCCGGGCAAATTTTTTCCCTCCGAAAACTGTGTTCTACAACTACGCGATCTGCAACTACACCTAGATTATCGCTGCCCACGGTTCGCGCAGATCCACCCCGTCATGAACTATGGCGAACGTAGATTCGTCGCGCTGGTCGAAGGCGCGCTAATAGTCCTAGGATGCGACTTAGACTTAACTTAGTTGCTACTGGAAATAGGGTAGCAGCTGACATTCGTCGAGGAGGGAAGGGGAATTGAATGTCGAGGAGGGTTGGGTTGGGTTAGGGTTGGGTTGGAGTACCAGCACGTCAGATTTGACACACACAAATCCGTCGACTGGTTGGATTGCCGGCGCGTCAAGCAGAGGAGACGAGAATTCGCGCACGCGGCAATTTCGCCAACCAGTCAACAGATTGTAAATTTCGTCGCACCTAAATGTGACTTTCGACGCACCGGCAGAAGTTGGCGATTGTGGCTTGCGACAAAAGTGTAGCACCTATTGGAAACTTGGTATTTTGTGGATGTTTTCTATCTTCCTACGAAAAGATTTAATGGCCAATGGAAGTCTGTACAAAAATCTGCCTAGGGTTCCCTCTTCTTTCTTTTTCTGGGCAGGTAGAAAAATTTTAGCCTGCCCGTACACACAGGCCTAAAACCAGAATCGCGTACATGTACGTAAACGTAACGTAAGGAACCAACTTAGGGTGGGACCACCCAAGGTAAGGACATAGTCCTTGGTGCCTCTTGGGTAGCGAAGGACACGCTTGGCTGCCTGCCAGTGCTCGAGGGTGTGTTTGCCAGCGCCGATGAAGCGTGCCAGGACGCTGATGCGGTAGGCGAGGTCCGGACGGGTGCACCTCATGGCGTACATCAGGAACCCGACAAGCTCAGCGTAAGGGCTGGTGGAGGAGCCGAGGGTGGAGGTCGGCGAGAGCTGGTGGCCGACTTGGAGGGGTGTGGAGACGGGTTTGGTCGTGGCCATCTCGAAGCGTTTGAGAACCTTCTCGAGGCAGAACGCTTGAAAGAGGGAGATAGTTTTGGCCGCACGATCGCGAGTGATCTCCATGCCGAGGTAGTTGCGGACCTCCCCCAGGTCCTTGCAGAGGAGGTGGGTTTGCAGCTCATCCTTGACCTGCTGTAGGTTTGCTTCGTTGTCAGCGGCAAGAAACATGTCGTCGACGTAGACGAGGATGTAGAAGGGGGAGGGTGAGGTGCGCAGGAAAAGGCAGGAGGAAGCCTGGGAGGGGCGGAAGCCAAGAGCACAGGGAAGGGGAAGTGTTAGCCTGCAGGGCACTCCATGAAAATGCACTCATGGAGTTCACCTTGGAGAAATACCGTGGTGACGTCCATAGAGTGCAGGAGCATGCCCCGCCGGCCGACGAAATCTAGGAACACGCGGACGACGGGGGTATTGGCGGTCGGCGAGTAGGTGTCGAGGAAGTTATGGCCGTACCGCTGCGTGAATCCTTTCGCGCACTAGCGGGCCTTGTAGACCGGGTCATCGCTAGGGAGGAGCTTGACCCGAAATACCCATTTACCCTTGACCACGTTGTGGTTGAGAGGGCGGGGTATGTCGATGAAGGTGCCGTTGCGGACAAAGGCCTCGTTTTCTTTGAGGACGGCCTTGCCCCAGTGAGGGTAGTCGGGGCAGGTCATAGCTTTGCGATCGTCTCCTGGCTCGAAAATGATGGGCGCACCGGAGAAGACAAGAACCGGAGCGCCGGTCGTGTTGAAGGCGACTGCTTGAGTGTTGGAGAAGGGGTGGAGGCGAAGAAATTCGCCATGGGAGTCTTCGATGAGGGGAGAGAAAGGAGGAGGAAAGGAGGGTGGTGTTGCAAGTTTGCTGCACTGCTGAGGGGGGACGCTGCGACATTGCGACTCTGGTACTCGGCTGGAGAGGGGGGGAGCACTGGGTCAAGGATGTCAACTGAGGAGGACGAGGAGGGAACGGATTCGGGGGGAGGAGGTGCTGGGGGTGGGGGAATAAAAGGGAGAGGGGGGAGGAGGGGCGACAGTGTCAGAGGTGGTGAGGGGGCGAGGGGGAGTGGTGATTGGGTCGGGGTGAGGCAGGGGAGGTGTAGTACGGGGAGGATTTATCAAAGACGACATCACGACAACGGATGAGACGACCTGAAGGGGGGTGGAGAAACAGGTAGTCAGGGGAGGAGGTGTTGTGACCGAGGAAGACGCAGGGTAGACTCTTGGAAGAGAGCTTTCCCGCTGAGCGTGAGCTGTCGGCCGGGCGTATGAGCACATACGCCCTAGAACCCCAGACGCGCAGGGGGGACACGTCGGGTTTAGTCGACGTCCACAGCTCGGTGGGGGTGGTGGAGGGGAGGAGAGGGTGGGGATACAGGTTAGTGAGGAGGACGGCGTGGAGAATGGCATAACCCCAAAGAGAAGGCGGGCAAGAGGCGTGAACGAGAAGACACCTGACGGTCTATGTAACTTCTCGAACACGAGCCTTTGCCACGCCATTCTGCTGAGGGGAGTGAGAGTGTAAGTGTGGTGAATACCATGGGTGGAGAAATAGTAAGAGAGGTGGTGATTGAGGAATTCATCGCCGCCATCGGAATGGAAGCGGCGAACGGAGCGACCGAAGTGGGTGCGCGCCTGATCGGCCCAGGCGATGATGAAGGCCAGTGCCTCGGCCTTCATGCAAAGGAGGGAGACCGAGGTGTACCGGGAGCGATCGTCCACCAAGACGAGGAGGTAGCGGTGCCCTTGACGGGTGGGGGAGGGGTCGGGGCCCCAGAGGTCCATGTGGACGAGATCCAGGACCTCTGGGGCGCAGGTAGGGTGACTTTTATGAGGAAGCTGCTTGAGCTTGCTCTGGACACAGATGGTGCAGGCGGGGGCGGGGGAGGGAGAGTGAGGGGAAGGCCATTAAGGAGCCCGGAGGCGACGGCCTTGTGGAGGGTGGCAAAGTTGGGGTGGCCTAGGCGGTGGTGGAGGAGGATAGCAGGATGTGTAAGGTCACGACAATGGCACTGAGATGGGGGAGGGAGCAGGAGGGGCGGGAGGGGAGGTGGGGGGAGGTTGCGGAGGAAAGAGGGGAGGGGGGAGGGGAGGGATTGTGGAGGCAGCGTGACAGGCTGACGGACGGGGAGTGTGAAGGGTGTACATGCGAGTGCGAGGACACGTGGGAACACGGACGATGAAGTGACCCGTGGCTGAGTGAAACAGATCACAGTGGGTGGCGTGGTCGGGGTAGATTGTGGTGACCCCAGCCCATTGAAGTGCACCTTGGGAGACGAGGTTAGTGCGAAGGGAGGGGACATGGAAGCCAGTGAGTGAACCTGAGGGGAAGAGGGGGCAGGGAAGAGTGGAGGTGTGGCGGGAGGTGACCGAGAAAGTGGAATCGGCACCAATGATGGTGGAGGGGTTAGGGAGGGGGGTGAGGGTACCAGCGTCACGAAGGACATTGACACTGGTGCCGCTGTCAATGACAAACTCAGTGGAATGAGGGGTGGGGTGAGACACGGGGTACTAGAATGAGGTCTCATTAATAGATTCGGGATACATAGGAGGAATAGCAGGAGAAGCATGGCTAACATGGTTTATGATGCTAGCGGAGGGAAAATGGTGTAAATCCAGGAGGTCCAATTGAGGCCTGCGTAGGTGTAGTGGGAGCGGAGTGGCCAGAGCTCCAGGCGAAGGGAGGGGAGGGCTGCTGCTGGGACTGCTGCGGCTACTG